TATATATAATACGCGCAGTAAATTTAAAACGCGGCAGCTGAGAGTTGATTAAGAATGCGACGGGCTGCATGCAGAGGGGGCCTCAATCGCGGTATACGACTCGTACAATAATAAGTGTACCTATATATTATATTATACATATAATATTATATAAATCCCTGCGAAATTATATTTTCAAAGTGTATGTATGGTATGATACAAATAGGACAGAAATGTGGCGTGTTCATTGTTCGCGCGTATTTGACGTTGATCCGGTTTCTCGTGACTTTATATTATTATCGTTATTGAAACTTGTGTGCGGATCAAAAAAGAAAAAAAAAAGGGTTGTTGTGTCCGCGACGTGTTTATACTCCGTCTACAAGGGATCGATTTCTTCGCATTCACGCCGCTGTTGTGATGGCGTGTGTTTACTCGGATCCGTTTCATCGCCTCTGAAAAAAAAAAAAAAAATAAGAAAGAAGGAATTAACGAGAAAAATAAATATAATAGTAAACAAGTATGAAGCATTATACATGCCTATGTATAGGTGTGTTTGTATGTGAGATAAAGACGCCTGCTTTCAGGTGTAGGTATATCACGATCTACCACCCAGAAATAATGGTTTTTTGTTACGAAAATATCGTAAGTATACGAGTAGTGTGAGGGTTGCAAGAATACTATGTGTACAGACGCATGACGGGGTGGGCCCCATTATACAATTTATATATTTTAGGAAGGTATTCCGTGATGGATAAATGTGCGTAATAATCGAATCATCTTAAAACGTATTAGTTTAATAGATTGAGAATCTCAATAATAAGGTAGGTACAATGAAAATACTAATAATATTTCGCATATAATTTTAAAATCAATCTGCAGCCAATTGTCTTAGCTCACATTTTTTATTAACAAGCACTAATGTTTACACAATTTTAACTTTTAAGCGTCGGATGATGTGAGCTAATAATTATATAGTTCAATCGTTGTTAATTCGAAATTGGGCTTGCCGAGACTTTGAAATTAGAAACTTACAAAATAAACAAAAAACGAAAAATGATGTAGGTGCCTTCTCATTTTATGGCATTATATTTAAACTCGGATCACAATAATACGTTCGCGGGATGCATGCGCAATAATATTGTTGTTCGCTAACGAGCTCTCTGGTATAACATCCGCGAGCGGACAAAGGACGCAATGCGAGTGGCGCAGTGTTCTTATTATAATATTATATAAATTTTTTTCATTAAATCCTACCTATATCCTATATTATTATACGCGTGTGCATGTGATATTGTGATCTGAGCCTGACGAAATAATAATATTATGAGTAGTCAATGTCCCCGCGTGTGTATATTATGTAAAGGTGAATAATACACTACTGCTATGACGTCGGCAAGAACGTTTCGCGATTATTATTATTCTAATATTATTGTCAATGCGTCGTGCGCGCGTTTGTTTTGTTTTGTTTGATTTGGTCGTGCGACGCTAATGAGAAGCACACGTCTTGAGGAGAGCACGTGGCGCGCGAGGTTTCCACAATAGGTCCGAGTAAAAACAATGCGTTTCTGCGCCGCGCGATTGTACTCGGTTTTCACGTCTAATTGGATGTCGGTATAAACAAAAGGACTCGCTCCTGATCCCTTTTTTTTTGTAGCGACTGTATACGTATAACATAATATGTCACCTCGAGGGGCGAAGGCCAAGGAGGGGTGGCACTTGATGTCCTCCTAGTGTGTACCTAGACTTATGTATATATATATATATATATATACAAACAAGTTCAAACAAATATATTATATATATATACACTGTAAAGTGTTATTGTAGCCTGTAGGTACCTATCCGTCGTTTCTGTTGGTTACATCGACAGTCACCGTGCTGTACATCATGACTACACTGCGCTAAAAATGTTCGCCAATGTTAGGTACCATTATAATACCGATTACATGGCATATAAAGCATATTTCTGTAATAGTACACACTTATTTGGCAATATTTTGCTCAGAATCGAAGAATTCCAATATTTATATAAACAGGTATTTCCGTTCAGTGGTGAAACGAACCTAAAATAACACGTAAGCAACCTAAAATTGATCCACCGGCCACCCACCCTCCTACCAACAATTTATAATAAACACGAGTACGTTTAGCATTACTATTTACTATTTGCCTACTATAATTTTTATTCATAAATCGTCTTTCATTTTCATACTGAGCGCCCACCCACCCACCCGTCCCTCAAATATTTAAAAACATGCTTCTCAAAGACCACGTTCGTGATCGTCTCACCACTGGGTGCGTTATATCAGTGGCACAAGTGCACAACTAATGCACAGGGGTGTGGGATGGATTTCGATACTCCAGACGAGGATAGTAATTACACCTACTTTGTTAATAAAATATATCTAAACTAAACGTTTTACCATTATTGTTATGGTAGGTAATAAATATTAATGAATATGTATATTGTACAATACGTATATACCTACTACCTATTATCATAATCTTTTATTTTAATAGCGAATACACACGTTAAGGAATTTTTGATACACGATGTAGGTGCCTACGATGTAATTAATGCTTATAAACGTAAATGTCTCTATAACTAACGATACATACTTAAATAATTTAATTTAGGCACAACTAAAATCTGAAGCTATAGGTATACTTAGTAGATTTTTAACTCAAATCGGCTGCGATACATACACCATCTGCAAAAATCGCTGTAAATAATATTAAATATGTACTTAAAAAATCGTCAAGGGATAGACACTATATACATATTATACGCTGTACATACTTTGTTTTTTTCTCGATTACGATTAATCGTATACAAACTCAACGCTGTGGGTCGGCGTGAATGTCGTAAAAATAGGTCGTAGATTTTTACGGTCCTCCGAGCAGTGGTCCAGGTATTATAAGATGATTACTTTCCAGACGAACGTTTATATACTGTAATCGTGACGTATTATTATTATTATTGATATTATGTTCATCGTTTAACGAAGCAGCGGCGTCGCGCACATGCGTTTGAAAACAACCCGCGACGAGACGTGAGTACCTCTATAGATACACCTACTTCGGGGTTTGTTGCGTTCTTCTCTCGTAAGTTATTGTACTAATCACGACACCGGAGAGATGATAATGTGACGGTATCGGGGGAGAGTGAATAAAAAAAAAAAATAATAATAATAATAACAAAAAAAAAACCATTTTGTTTCGGCTGCAATATGGTGCCGAGCAATACAATCGCGCGGGCTAGGTATGTACAATATAATATAATATAAGCCGAGGCAGTTTGTGTCTTCGAAGGATGAAATTTATCGACGATTTCAGTACTGGTTTCCAGCGGCAACGTATCCGTCCGTCCGTCCGTCCGTCTCTACTCCTCCCCCTGTACATAGGTATATAATAGTAGTATACATTATTTTAATGTTGGGTGGGTGGGTGGTTGAGGGGGTCACATAAATCGACGTTTACGGTCTTGTCGGCGGCCGTGTTTGAGTACGCGAGTGTAATATCGTCGTCTCTTCTAATATACTTTGTTTTTTTTTCTTAATTTGCCAAGACCCCATACTAATTTTTTTTTATCGTGTTTTCTGCCTTTCGGGTTTGACCGACAAGCCGCCGATTTCGTCTCCTCGTCCCTGCCCCCATGTCACTCTGACTCAGTCTGTTTCTCTCTCACTCGTGCACACACACTCTCTTTGAACACATACGGCCCGACCGAATTTATAATGACTAAACCGATACATGTGATACACACGTGATATCCCTTACCCTCGATTATAGAAATTATAATTCAAATACGACTTATAAACGGTTATATTTACGGCCATATTGTGTTATACTCGGAGACATGATATTTTATTGTTGAGTTTTATTGGTGTATATGTACGAGGAACTTTTAGTGTACGATATTATAATAGATTTGTATTATTTAAGCGTAGACGATTTGACAGTAAATAATACACACTTGTTGAATTTACTCTTACAACCTATAAATAATTGTGTAATATTTATTACGTATACATAATATATACGAGCGACACTGTGGGTTTGATTTTTTTCAGGCTAGAGAAAAGTGAAAACTATATATTATGCCCAAGTATATTCGATGGTTTTATTATAAATTAATCAGATGCAACTGTCTTGTTTACCTTATATATATAATATATTGTAGTCAACTTGAATGTTACTCATTATTTAAACACGACAGTAAATATGATATTGTGTTATTAATTTTATTATAAATTTGAATATATAAATTGCATGTCAGTATGCCTTGACGTGTCTGTCCCCGTCTACTTCTTTTCTCCTAAGTACATTTTTTTAAATATTAATAGGGTCGCAGTTCATTGATTTAAAGTATTTTTTAATTCACATATAAATATAATAAATAATAATACGAGGTTATCTGTAGTACAAAAAACATAATAATACATTTATTCTAGGCATATAGCTACTATATTCCTCGTACGCTCAGCTTGCACGAGGAGAACAATTTAAAATTAATAAATGAAAACCTTAATAATATAATTACAATTTGCAGTGCTCCAATTTATAGAGCTAAATTTTCGTGAACGAAAATTTTGATTTCGAAATCTGTACTATAATACTGAAGTAATTTTCATTTCGTTCTCGAATAATAGTTATGCATACTCATTGCTCAAACATCGTGGCGGACAATTTTGCAGCTGATGTATAAGTAAACGCAAACCAATCTGAATGAACGATTTTCAATTTTTTTTACCACAAAAAAAAAATATTACACATACCTAATTTATATGTCTAACCTTGCCGAATTATGACTAGAGCGTATTGTTTCTCAAAGAAAAACTGTTTTTACGTCATCGTAGGGAGTCGAATAAATCGAATAATATACTGTAATGTATGGATTAGGCACCTGTATAATATTATAATTGTTTCCCTCTTTGTTGTTTGTTTCTGATTACTAACACACTGCAGCACTATGTATGTACTTGTGACTAATTTCCGTCGATTTATCTTTGCCCACACAGGTTCACATACTGTCGCATTTCATAATGAATGGAGTGTGCGTCCGGTGGAAAGGGCGTATCGACTTGGACAAATTGGACGGCATCGGTTGTCTGGAGTTCGACGAGGAACGGGCAATGGTGAGTGCATTTATTATTATTGCTGCTATATGCCAAGAATATCATCTTGCCCCCAGGAAACAATATAAATACGACGAGTGTTCAATTTTCCATTATACAAGCGTTCTGAGTTTGACGTTTTAAAACAATATTTAAATTCAAAGACTTATAGTTTTGATGTATCTATATAATAAGCATCACATTTTTCCTCGTCTATAATCGCGTTCACGAGCTTTCGTGTGCTTATACCTTATAACATTATGTAATAATATGAGGTACCTAAAACTCGAACCGGCGGTGGTCTGACCCACTGCTCAGTCAGTCGTCTAAATTCGGTCACATTTTTTAAAGTGATTTCTCAAATCTCAAGTTAATTTTTTTTTTTATTTATTTAATTATATATATAAGATGTTCCTAGCCATGGCAATCTACATCTAATGATATTATAATGGTACATTTTTAACAATATGAATATGATAATTTAAGTAATAATACTATAAGAATAGTGTAATAATACAATAACAATAATAATAAATATCACAATAACAATATTGAAATAAAATTACAATAGATAGTATAGCAGATATAATAATGACAAATTGTATAGCTTGATTGCCACTAAAAGTAGGGCAGCTACTGTATAAGTGGAACTGTTACACTAGAAGGTCGTGTGGACGTCCAAGTTTTAATCTACGTTGAGGCGGATGTACGTGGAGTTGATAGTGAAGTAAGCAAGAGGAGTTGAGCAGTGAGGTATGGAAGTTTTTTGAAGAGGTTTTAATATGGTCTGTGATTTCCTGGATTTGAAGGTCTTTGTGTAGGTTTACGTTCCTTATAAACCAGGGTGCGTTGGCAATAATACGTAGCACTTTATTTTGAAAAATTTGAATTTTATTGATGTGAGTGGACGCGCATTTCCCCCAGACCGGACACGCATAAGTGAGTAGTGGACGTAGAATTTGTTTAAGAATTAGAAGAGAGCAGTTTTTCTGTATTGGAGATTTTTTATTGAGGATAGGGTATAACAAAGAGAGGCGCTGATAAGCCCGTTGAAGTTTGGATGAGATATGGGGCTGCCATGTTAACCGTTTATCCAATGTCAAGCCGAGGTATTTTACTGACGAGCTCCAAGGTATATTTACAATGTTAAATGTTAGTTGTGCAGGGGAGTGGTAAGGACGAAGACTGAAGATAACTCCTGTGATTTTTGACGCATTTGTGGTTACTGCTTCAATATTACGTGATTCTGTGAATATTGTAGTATCGTCTGCGAAAAGGGCAATGTTCGTAGGAGGTGACTGAAGAATATCATAAACATAGATGTCGAATAGTATGGGACCAAGCTTAGAGCCCTGAGGGCTGAGGTACACCAGCGAAAGTTAATTAATAAAGTTGTCAAAATGTCTATTACCTAACCGGTATAAATTATAGTTTACAATATAAGTATATATATAGATACATATTATGCAATGGTTTCCCAAAAATCGTTTGTTGGGAAAATATTTTATCTCAACGGTTTTTTGTTTTGTTTGTTTTCGTTACGATAGATCGAGAACAGGATGCTGCAGGAGCAAATCGAGAGATACAACGACCGCATCAGAGAATATCAGGACAAACCTCGCGCCTACAGAAACCAAGAGCGTGGTGTTACCGATTCGGATTTAGACGTGAAAAGAAGATTGAACTATTAGATCATTACATATATGTATTGATGCATACAGATATGACCCGTTTGTACACAATATATAACTATATTACCTATAGGCAATAATATTGTAGCGTGTTTGTGTTATTTATGCGTGTGTAAAGTACTCATATGTTTTTATTATTATTATTTTTTAATTCGTTTTTATTTTTGTTACTTCTTTATAGAATTATTATTATTATTATTATTATTATTATCATCATTTTTTTTTTAATATATACTGACTCGCGTATAATGCATTTAACTATATATTATTATGAATTGCGTTTGCACGTCAAACAATCAATAGTTTAAAATACCTTCATACCATTATATTATATATTTTATAATACCAATATTTGAATAAGTTTTTCGAGGAACGTTCTGAAATCGATATTTTAATTTCTTGAACAAAAATTGTCAAACTGTATTTGACTGTAAAACTATTCATCCACTTTTGGATAGTGTCTGTATAATATAATATTAATAATATAATATAAACTGTATAATATAATATTTAATGAATCAACAATGAGCTAATGATCCCTTAAACATGATTTGGTGACCGAAGATCAATTCACTTAATTTTAGTGAACCATTAAGTTAATCAATTTGTTATGTAATTCAGCATAATAGTATATTATATACTTTTGATTAATATAAAGTAATTGTGCTTTTTTTTTTAATATAGAACATCCAGTGGCGTATTTTCAGTGATTTTGTAACGAACATTTTAAAAAGAAACTGTTCTTTGCTCTCTGATTTAAAGTTTATTAAAATAGTATACTAGTAGCAATATTATATTTACCTATAGTTGAAATATCCATTATAATAACTTAGCTTTTTCCAGTTGAACTGAAAAAAAAGGTTAAATTAGATCGTGATTATATACATAATATTATACATATTATTATTATTCTATATTCTATAACTGTCAAGTTAGAACTCGGGAGTTGATTATTTATAATTTTTTCACTTAATTCCGCTTGGATACCTAAAAATTGTATACAGTGGTTTTAAATACAAATAAATAGTTAAATAGGTAATTCCTTAATTTAATTATTTTGATGACACAATAATGTTATCATTGACGAAATCACTACAAATAATTTGAAATAAGAAGAAACATCTTACGGTGAATTTTTAAGATACTGTTCAGTTATTATGTAAAAAAAAAAATATGAAAGTAATCACAATATCATCTCTATACTACGTATATCTATAAGTGACTCAGGTTGGAAGGTAGTAATTAAATAAAGAAACTCCCATCATTGTAAAATCCATACATTCATCGCTCCGCTCAGACTGTAAAAATGAATTACTTCCTTTTACTGAATTGAGTTCATATTTTTCTCCATATTAACTTTAAACCTATAAATTTCAATGTATTCTTTGTCAGTTATTAACTTATAAACCTTGTTAACATGACTAACTCAGGTTTTTTTTTTGTGACTTTCTAATCTTTGAAAAAAAAATATTCAATTGCTTCTATAAGGGAAAAATCTACCATTAATACGCCACTGGATTATAGTCTAAACTGTAATGTCTGTTCAACATAATTAATTCTATGATATATTTATATTATATTATATATAATATGTACAATTATAAAAATGACTATCGATATACAAATTTAAATGTTATAAATTGTATTCAGATTATAGTATTATACGTACTCATACAGCTTATGTATAATAATTATATTGTTTTGTTCCTTTTGCGTTTTTCGTCGCATAGCGGTTGATCCTTTTTCCCGACAGTCATCTATTTTATAGCCGTTTCGTCCCGGTTTTTCCTCTTAACCGCATCAGAAAGAAATAACTGTCGTCATATGATGACTGAATTTTAATAATTATGCGTCTATAATACACAATAACACCGTAGACCTTAAACAACTTAGTAGAAGCCGTAAGGTCTATGGGTAATACGTATAATCGTGAATTTTGGGTAACGTGCTTCCAAACGTTCACCACGACCAGCGTCAGTTTGCCGAGACTCTTGTGTTGGGTTCCTACAAGATGATACCTATATGCATTACACTTGGGGTGCAAAAACGAATATAATATTTTGTGTCGTTAAAATATTATATCAAACGCGAACCTAATTCGTACGTACCAATAGTACCGACCAACAGGTATGGCCACTGAAAAGCGACCGTTTTTTTTTTTGTTTTGTCCGTCATTCAAGTGCCCCTCTATTCGTGTGTACGAGTCTCTCTCTGAATAATATAATATAGGTGTACCTACACAGTTTTCACGGTCGATTTCCCCCGACCGACGGACCGAGCGACGCCGCCGCCGCCGCCGACAGATCGACAGCTCAGCGGCGCAGCCCGGACACCTTTTGGCGGTGAAAAAAAAAACAAAACAACAACGACAACAATGTGATAAGACGAAAAAAAGCGGTCGGCGCGAGGACACATTATGACGGAAAATAAAAATATACAAAAATGCAACAAAAAAAAAAAAAAAAACCTCCTGACTGTGCGCAGACAATGAGACACGCGTCGCCAATTCGTCACTTTTTGACACGCACACTTCCACGTCCGTCCATTTCGCGTGTATTGTGCGTGAATTATAATAATAAAAACAGTCGAGCATACCCTCACTGTGCGAGTTGGCTACTTACATTCAGTCGTCATAACGGGGATACGGCGATGGGTTTATTGCGTGACAGACGGGTCAATCATCGCGAAACGTCATCGATCTGTTACCTTATAATATAATATTATAATGGTGTGAGATGTATTGGCGCGCGAAAAAATAACAATTTGACGAGCGTAATAAAAGTCTCGGTGGGCACGAGTGGTGTGTGTGTATGTGTGTGTGTGCTCGATCTCCCCGTGCGTCCTATATATTATATCGATTCTCCGTTGCACGAAGTACGGTACCTATTTTGTAGACGGTTTGGCTTCGATTTGATGGATGATTGATCGGAATTATATTATTACGATATTGCGTAACGTTATTTTTGGTTTCCGCGTTCACGCGGTGCATATATAATGATATTGTGTTTCATAATTTTTTTTAAATTCCGAGTGCACAGAACGATGAAATTCCACACGTCCATTCAATAGAATATCTACGCGACATAGGTAATCGCCAACGATTTAAAAATACATATCATTTGCAATCACGGTAAGCTCCTATATACAATTTTACCTGATATGACAAATATGACAAATATGACATAAGAACATTCGTAAAAATTGCAGTTTTGTAAAATTAATTTTCAATACGGTAAACATTACGTGACGGGGATGCTTACTAGGTATGCATAAGTTTATAGACACTAATTATAGGTATTAAGTACCTACTGAGCACCTGGTACTTACAATATAATGGCTATAACCATTTATAAGTTTATAACACTAAAACTTTGACGTTCTACCGAAATAAATTTGTCGATTGGAATTTATACTTGTGGTGATTTTGAACGGTAAGTAGCTTAAAATATGTAATATTATTTGGAATAAAGCTCACAGGTATCTGAGATTTTTGCACTTTGTACGATACGATTTATTTTTTCTGATAAATCTGATTAGAATCTAAAAGTAAATATTCCTTGTTATTGAGAGTCAAAGAGTTCAAAAAGGTTAAGAAAAGTTAAAAATCTTACAAAAGTTTCACTATCGTGAAAAATATAATCTTCTTCCCTTATTTGTCGAGTTTCAGATACACAACGAAAATTAGTTTAGAAGATTTGTTTAAAAAAATTGTACTTTTAAGTGTTTTCTTAAATAAAATTACATTTTCCATTTAGTCTGTAGGCACATAATATGAAAAACTGAGACTCAAAAGTCAAAACTCACTATTACAGCTTACATCCATTAAATTGATGATAGCGTATTAGAGACAAAAAGCTCACATTTTTTTAGGAATCATTGTTGATGCAGAGCTCACTCATACTATTTAATGATAATAATAATAATAGTGTGCTAAAGAAAATACCTTAAAATATTATATGAAAGAAACGTGTTGGTAAATAGTTTATCATTTATCTGCGAAAAGATGAAATGTAATTTTTACCTTGTATGAGTATACAAAAATGAAAAATGCAATAAAATCCGTTCTGCAATAATATCTGAGGATATGCATCATATATTCATAATAATATGTTCGCGAGTTGGTATATATATTCTATCACATGTCCCAGTGGGGCGGTATATGACGGCGAGTGATAAAATATTTAATAATGTCCGCCCCGGTGTAATATATTATATAATATTTATATATAATGGTCGTGTTCGAGTGTACCCCTTAGGAATTCAAAAGTGTCTCGTTGCAGTCAAAAAGAGCGAAAACGAAAAATCGTATTTTTCATCGGACTTGTACAAAAGAGCCGCGCGTGGTGTATACAGCATACGACATAATATTATATACCTGTAATACCATTTCAACGACGTCGAATGTTTTATTCCGTGTAATGTCATTTTCCTTTTATTTTCATTTTTTGCACTCAGAGAAGATACACATTACAATAATAATAATAATAATAATAATAATAATAATAATAATAACAATAATGAAACCGTAGGGGAATATCATAAATCATCAATGTTTCGGCGTCGAGTGAAGCGTTTTTACTTTCGACGGCCTGTGCAAATGATTTACGATTTCTTTTGAAGTCTACCCCATTGTGTGTAAACATTTCTTTATTTTTACCAAACAAAGTTTTGAAAAAATTTATTCTGACCATACGCCTGTGTATAAGACGTCTACAGATACCTACTGCAGTCCATATACATATATACATATTATTTATTTATAGTCATTTACTCGGTGTCTTGTAAACAGTGCTTATATTTTATTTTGCCGTGTCAGATATTATTATCCTCGGAGAAACACTTTTCGGGTGAAAGAGCTCCGCCAATTTCGATTTATACACACATCAATATAAAAACGAACAACAAACGCCCACTATAACGACTAACGGGGACATATTTTCGCCTGCACAAGGATAAATATTTATTTGTTGAATTAAAATCACAATGCCTATATTATATTATAATAAATGTATACACTATACTTTTTAATAGCGATCCGGCATTCTGACTGAATATACTTATAATTTTTACTGGCCGTATAGTAGATGTAAATGCACATCTAAATGAATAAATACCTGCCATATTAAAAATCAAACAAAAATTATAACATATTCAGAGTATAACACTTTCATCCCGAAAATCCTTGAAACAATCACAATAAGGAATGATTGTACTGACAAATATATCCAAAAGGATAAAAAGGAACAAAATCTATAATCCAAGAAAAATCTGAATTTAAAACAGTCTAAAAGAAGACAATTTCTATGATATACTTATGCTTTACACACTCTCACTGGTGCCCCTGAGCAGCTAGGTTAGTTAAATAAAGGTTGTCGCTTGTTAGACTCACTTAGGGACCAAATTATTTGAGTCCATTAGTGGAATGAATCAATAAGGTGAAATGCCGCCAAAAAATTAAAAATGTATACGAATTATTTACTTGAAAAATATTTATATAGATTTTAGTTCAGATGTAATTATGTAAATGTAGAGTATAGTAAAAATAATGTAGTAAAATATTGTAATAAGCTAGGTAGGTACCTAATTAATTTTTGATAAGAATCCATTCTGAGTTCATTGAATTTTCCCTTCTCCTGTTCAAGATGACCCCAATAACTGGCGTGTGAGTTCAATAGACGATTTTGTTGCTGTGTGTTAGTAAACGACGTATAAGTGCAAATCGGGACCGGCCTTTTTCAGTCTAATAGGCAAATAAGTTAATTAACCGTGACTTGTGAGTCTAACCACTAAACAACTAATTGCATAAATGTTCACAATTTTCAGGTACGCAAGTTGAGTAATAAAAAAAAGGCACTCAACTCGTTATTTTTTCTCTACAAGGAAAATCTATGAATCATAAATATTATGTTTTTGTAATAAGTAACCATTGCAACGAAAACCTTACGGAAAATCTGTCAGAAACAAAACAGGATGTATTCGGCGCAAATACATATTTGTGGTAAAAAATTCAAATGATATTTTTTTAATATTTCAATATTAGACGGTATGTATATGTACATATATGTGAGTATATATATACTGAATTTAATTAAGCATATATAAACTGAACTTAAGTAAGTATATTTTAGACATTACTTTTTTCTCTCTTATATCATGTGTTTTTTTTTAAGACATTTGCGGTTTGTACGAACGACGTTGACTGGTCATTATTGATTTATAATTTACGATAAATCATTCATTGGTCTTTACGATCATGTCTTGCGACAATACACGGCTCATTTTCCCTTAGTGGAACTCGTGTATTAAACGCACCCGCTGCATTTCCAACTAGAATGTGCAAATGAAAACCACTAAGTTTTTTTTTTCAAAACCACGTCGAGATTAGTGTACCTATATAACACAATATAATATACATAATATACGAGATACTATATTAATATTATATTAGTATTTTGTACTGCAATAGTAATATATCATTCATCAATCATCGGTCACACTGGCTCTGC